TTTTTTTTTTTTTTGGGTGCTGGGGATCGAACTCAGGTCCTCGTGCTTGCAAGGCAGGTGGCAGAACCACTGAGCTAAATCCCCGGGCCTGGGAGCTTGCTCTTAAACATCTCCATCTGCCCCATGCCTAGCCCAGTGCCTGGTCCGCAGCTCATTCACACACAGCATGTTGAATTCTCCTGACTAGTGCTGGCCTCCAGCTCTGGGTCCTGACGGATTGGGATTGGTGTGGATGGCTCAGTGAGGCAGAAACAACAACTGTCACAAGCCATCAGGTGTGCCCCTCCCCTGCCTCACCCCAACTCCCTCAGGCCCCTTTTTCTGTCTCCACTCCCAGCCACAGCCATGAGAGGAGAAAGGCCTGATTCATCCACCTACTTCCTCTACTGCCTGTGGGTTCAAACTCCCCTCAAGCACCTGATACAGGTACGGGCTACCTCAGCCCACATGAGCTCTGTGTGCTGCCCTGCGGGTGTAGACCCGGGATGGAGCCAAAAGCAGGTGACATAGAGCCAGGGACCTGCCTAGGATTCTGACCAGCTTTCTGACTTTCCACAAACTGCTTTCCCTCTGTGTACCTCGGTTGCTTCATCAGTTGACTGTGGGTACTCACCCTTCCAACTTCATGCAGTATAAGTTTTGAAAGAGGCAACAGATGTGAAAACACTTTGAAATGCTTATACTTTGGCCGGGGATTTAGCTCAGTGGTTCCGCCACTTGCCTTGCAAGTGCAAGGACCCGAGTTCGATCCCCGATACCAAAAAAGAATGAAATATTTATACTTTGGCAGGAAGAAGGCTGGAGTGGGTGTCAAGCAGCCCTAATTTGGTCTCAGTTGTTTGTCCTTCAGTGACCTGACTTCTCTAAGCCTCAGTTTCCTTATCCATAAAATGATCCCTTTCGCTCTGGTGCTCTTTGGTTCTGTAGGTTGAATTTTAAGGAACTCAGTCCCCGGGCCCTCAGGCTCCTCTTCTAAGAAAGGAGACAGAAACCCTGAGCCCCCTTTGGTCCAAAGGTATAAGGAAGGACAGTACAGAGGGGCTGAGACTGACTTCCTGAGTGCCCTGGCCTCCCCACCCCCAGTACTGTGCTCACCTCCTCTGCCCGCTGCGCCTGAGGATGGTTGTCCAGGAAGGTTCCCTCGAGGACAGAGCCCACAATGGTCAGGCCCTTCCCTGCCTTGAGCTGAGAGGTCAGTGAGAGCAGCTGCGGGTGCACCACATTCTGGTCCTGATCCACACGCACCAGCACCAGCAGCTGGGGCCTGAAGAGGGTGCAGAGCCAGGTGACCCCAACCACCCACCCACCACTCACGGGGCCACTGTCCTCTGTGCCCACCCACCTGTCCCCATCACCCACTCATCTGGCTCAACGTCCAGCCAGCCATGCATTTCCTTGGATAACAAAGCCTTCACCCATCTCTCCACATATCCATCCACCACCCACCTCTCCACCCATCTACGCCACCCATCTCTCTGTCCATCCCACCGCACCCTCATCCTTTCTATGCTTCAGTCATCCTCTCACATCCTTATTAATTTACCTACACTTACCTTGCTCACTCAGTGGCCCCCAATTCACTTATCTGCCATCCACTGACACAGCCATCTATTCCAGCACCTACCCTCCTATGCGGATATACATTGATCTGTCCTTCCATCTAGTCATCCATTCATTTCCTGCCTCCTTTAGCCACTTATTCATTCATCCAACCCACCCTGCCAAGCACCTACTCTGGGCCAGGTGCTGATCCCTGGAGAATTCCCAGACAAGCAACGCAAAGCTCCAGTGTCTGGAAGCCCTGGTTTAGTCAACATCAACAAGAGCAAGCCAACAGTGCCCTACGCATAGCTCAGAGTTGCAGCATTACTCCTGCCATAGTGGGACCTGGGGGACAGGGAAGGGACTGGGCAGGCCAAGCAAGCAGGTAGAAGACACCTAGGCTGAGAAGCAGGAGGGGAGGATTCTGACTCCAGTTCCTCCTGTGACGCCTGAGCGCATCTCTGGCTCCTGACTTCACATGAATAAAATCTAGAAATTCCTAAGAGATGCTACTGCTGTCAAAGTGAGAGCGTAAACTCTACAGATACGATGTTTACAGGCTCTGTGTGCCATCTCCTCAGAACTGTGACCTCACTACATCCCCCAGGGACTGGGCGGCAGACTGCCACATTTCATGCATTTTTGAATAAAGAGCTGAGTAGATGGTCAGGTGGACGGCACGGTAGGCAGGTTTGGGAGAATAAATGTCCAAGACTCATTTTGGCCTTGGTGTCGGTCGAGGCTGGGCTCGTCTGGTGCCGCTCAGCAAAATGAAGCGAGTGGATGAGTCTGGCCCCCGCTCCTTTCCTGTCCCTACCCTGAGCCCCCTGTGCCCATGCCACTCACCTCCAGTTCTTGGTGTGCGGGGGCCCTTCCTCTAGGCGCAAGAGGGCATAGCGGGCGGCGCTGAGAGACAGGCCTCGGATCCCGTCACCCCACTCCTTCTCTGCCCTGGGGGCCAGGAAGGGGACAGCATGAGGCCAGAGCGTGCCTGGGAGAACCATCCGCACAGAACGGGCCACCCCCGGGCACAGCCGTCTAGCTCAGGCTCAGAAGCAATAAGCCTGTCACTCCTGCCACCTGGCTCACTCAAGCCTGAGCTGTTTCCTTGGAAACTCATTTCTGAATCTGTTCTCTCACCTTTTCTGTCCACTTCTCAAAGCCTTGGTCCCCATGTCCCAATCCCACCCTGCATCACCCTTCCCTCCACCCCAGCCCTGTCCCCCCTCCCTGCCTCATCCCACACCTGTCACCTCTCCTGCCCCTCAGCCTCTCCTCCCATTTCCCACACTCACCCACGATACTCGATGTACTTGTAGATGAGCCCGGCGATAAGCATGGCCACCAGTGCATAATACCAGGAGCAGATGAACATCAGGGCCAGGCACAGGCTCATGCCCAGGAAGGAGAGGGTCCTGGACAATGCAGAGAGACCCAGTCTCTCAGCCCTGGCAGGGATGTCACTGAAGCTGGGCTTCCAGCGAGAGTCTAGTGGGACAGAGCCTGAGCAAGACTTGGGCAATCGCAGTCAGGTCTAAGGGCACCCACGCTACTGTCACCATGTGCACCGTGGGGTTAAGGGAACTTGTGGATGAACAGCAACCAGCCAGGGCACCATGCCCCACCCACCTCCCAAGTCATACCTCCCTGCCCCTGTGCCTTTGAGCTGGCCCGACAGTCCTAGCCAGATGGTTCTAGGACGGGGATCTCTAGAGGAGTTGGAAGCAGAAGACCGTAGAAAGAGACCCCAAACTAAGCAGGTGCTAATCCCCTTACACCATTATCTTTCTGGGTGGCCCACTGTGCTGAACCCTGCCTCCCTTGGGCAGGGCTAGTCCCTTCCCCTGCTTGAGCTCAGATTGTTCCTGCAGCTCCGTGGTGGGCATGAAAAGCTGTACAGTGATACATGATAGGAAGAGCTGCAGCCATCTTGGAATGAGCCTCTCCCCCGCACGAGCACTATGATCCCCAGCACAGCCCCAGGACAGCGGTGTGGCGACCGTGCCCATATCACAGTGGGGAAACTGAAGCGCTGAGACGCTACAACATCAGCCCAAGACCTGAAAGCCAGGAAGTGCAGTCATTCAGCTCAGGCTGACTCTAACCTCCGTGCCATACTGTAAGGTGACAGGGAAGGGGTTACAGTGGGCTGTTTCAGGTTGTGTTATATTATGAGTCATGGCAGTGAGCAGACCTTCTCCAGGACTTTTCTCATATTGGTTGGGCTACAAAACTAGAAAAAATGGTTATCTTCTTCAGGTGTGGGGTATTTAGATCTGGAGGGAATTGGCTGGGGTGGGGGCCGGTGCTTTAGTGGGGTGGGTGGCAGGACAGGGCACCCACCAATGGTAATAGCGAAAGCGTGGCCTCCAGTTGGGCGTCCTCAGCAGTGTCTGCACTGCACAGGCCAGGTTCACAAACATGTAGCACATCAGGAAGAACCTAGAATACAGAAAGACCCCAAAAGAAAGATGCTAGAAGGCAAAAGAAACAGAAACAAGGCATAGGGACAGAAAGGGGGAAATCATGCTCTGGTGCTTAGGAAGGGGTCAGAGGCCAGGTCCCCTATAACATATCCAGACATGTATGGGGGTAAATCCCTATGTAACAGGATGGGCTTCTCCAACCAGTGAGAAACTTCCTGGAGCATTAAGGAGCATGGGTGGGTTGTCATGGTCACAGCTGGAGGACCCAGGTGGAGAAGCATGTGGCCCTAAGGAGGAGACACAAGTCAGATACGCACATGGAAAGGATGGGGGCAACCTCATCAAGGGAGGCAATGAGGATGCCGATCTCACAGATGCAAGCAGTCAACAGCAGTGCCCAGGTTGGTTCTCCATTGGCTTTGCCATGGCCAAAGACCTGGGGACAAAGCAACCATAATGGGGTACCAAGACCTTGAGGACTTGTCTCTCTCCCCCAATCTTGGGAACCAGTGAAGTACAGGCAGGAATCCTACAACCAGTGAGATGTGTTCTCATCCTCTAAGAAACCCATGGGGATAGCAGGCTTTTGCCACCTGATACTGGCACTGCAGTTCAGTAAAGTTCAATTGACCCCTGAAGGGAAAAGACACTCCAGTAGTGCAGATGGGAGAGGAGCCATCAGGAGCCAGCAAGCAGCCGTGACTGTGCGCTTCATAAATCTTTGTTTTAAGCATCATGGAAAGAACCACTCTCGCTGGGCATGGTGGCGCACGCCTGTAATCCCAGCACTCGGGAGGCTGAGGCAGGAGGATCGTTGTGAGTTTGAGACCAGCCTGGGCTACATAGTGAGTTCCAGGTCAGTCTCAACTACATAATGAGACCCTGTCTCAAAAAAAAGAACCACTCTCTTCCTGCCCTCTGACTCTCTCTCTAAGTCCCTGACCAACCTCTGGGGCTAGAAGAAGGACACTTATTTTTCCCCTGAAAGTAGAAAATGCTCAGAGAGATGGACCGACCATGGGCCAAACCCCAACTAAAGTCCACCCATTCCTCTCAGTGTAGTACTGGGCAGAAGTGGGGGCAGCTCAAGGCTAGCAGTGGTCCTCATTCACTGTGTAGCCCCTGGGCCGGGGCCTGGCCAGCGGAGCTACTGGGTGAGACTGCCTTGCTGCCCACACTGACCTGCAGGAAGGGCACTATGCCATCCCGGGAGATGGCCTGCAGCAGACGTGGAGCCCCCGTGAGGCTCTGCAGCCCAGCCCCACAGGTGGAGAAGAAGGATCCGATGACGATGACCCAAGGTGATGGCCAGGCCAGCGTGCCCACCACCAGGTTGCCATTCACAGCTTCACCAAACCTGGAGTAAAGCAGTAAGGGCACAGGAGATGCCAAGTGAGCATTGCTACCTGGATTTCCAGGGTGGCTCTCCCCACACCAACTGCAGGACTAACTCTGTGGACCACAGAGTTGGGCTCTGCAGGCTCAGATGCGAGAAAAGCTCCAAATGTCCTGGGCACGTCCTGCCTGAGTGGCCTTGAGCAAGTCACTGAGCTTCAGTTTTCATAGCTGGAAAACATTTACTAGAAGCCTATCTCATACAATTGGTGAGGGCGGGGGGAAGGAGGTACAACATGTAACACGCTTACACCATGGCCAGGACGGGGCGCCAATGTGATTCTAGTCAACGGCTGAGTGTTAGTATCACATCATCCTGAGACTGTTAGGATCTGGGTCCCCATGTGAAAAATGGCACTCTGGCCTCATCACAAAGTGATGCTACAAGAACCAAAGAAAAGAATTCTCTAACAACAGCACTGTCTCAAAAGAGAGGATGCGAACTGGACTCAGTGGACCACACACACTATAGTCCCAGCTACTTAGGAGGCCAAGGCAAGAGGAGAGCTTGAGCCCAGGAATGTAAGACCAGCCTGGGCAGCATAGTGAGACTGATTAATTAAAAGAAAAGAAAAAAAGAAAGAAATGATGGAAAGAAAATAAAAACTGAAAGATGCTGCCTCGGCAGGTGAAGAACTCTGTGGCTAGAGATGGGCTTAAAAGGACCATTGGTGAAAGAGTCCAAAAACCAGAGGGAGAGCTGTTGAACATGACCCGCCACATTCCTTGCTGTTTTGTGGGTGCTCTGTGATTAAAGGAAGTAGAGGTCAGACTGCCCTAGAACAGGTATAATATATGCAAACTGCCCATTTGACCGGGTCGTTACTCTGTTTAAAACCTTTCTGGGTGTCCTCCATTTGAATACTAATAATAAAGTAAAGCCGTAGTGTCGCCTCCGTCCTGGCTCCAGCCTAGGTCTCCAGCCTCACCCCCCTCCCATACATTACCTTACAGATGCCAGGGTTGCGTGGAAAGCCATTCTGCAGTGAGACCTCCTCCCTTCCCCTGCTCATAGTGAGCACACTTGGCCTTTAGGAGGGCTTGCGGGGCACTGAACTGTTTACAGCCACACGAGTGCACATATATGCAGAAACACACTTCGTGCTGGCCCCCATCCTAGTTGCCTAATCTCTGCTCGGCACTGAAAATTGAAAGGATGAATGAGACACAGCCGTCCCTCACTCTTCAGAGAGGCTGGTTCCAGGACCCCCTGTATGATACCAAAATCTGGGATGCTCAGTGTCTTCTGCAAAATGGTATAATATTTGCACATATCCTACGTGCATTCTCCTGGGATTAAATCATCCTGGGATTACTTAGCAGCATCTAACATAATGTGAGCACTATGTAAATAGCTGTTGTGCCATACTGCTTAGAGAATAATGACAAAGAAAAAAGTCTGTCCGTGTGCTTTACAGATGTAATAGTCTTTTCAAATATTCTCGATTTGTGCTTGGAAGAAGACCAACTTTAAGATGCATAAGACCCTTCCAACCCCACCTCATCTGGGAAACCTTTCTCAGTCTCCAGAGGACCAGACTGTGGTCCTCCATGAGCTCCCGTACCCCCATGGTCTTATTTATAGCTACTCTTACTGCACTGCCTTTTCTTTCTTTTTTTTTTTTTTTTTTTTTTTTTTTTTTTTTTTTTTTTTGGTACTGAGGATTGAACTCAGGTCCTTGTGCTTGCGAGATAGTCACCAGAACCACTGAGCTAAATCCCCGGCCCCTTACTGCACTGCATTTAAAACCTTTTAGCAAGTGCAGTCACCATCCCCAAAGAACTCCTTTAGGACAAAAACTGTGTGTTATTTATCTTTGCTCCCCCTACAGCCTTAGACAGTGAGCAACATATAAACGCCCAGTAAATGTTGATAAATTAAGATTTTAAATAAACAAAAAAGAAAATATCAGTATCCTAAAGGAAATGAGGCATCACTCAAGCCTCCTGATCTGGAATAACATAAGAAAGAAAAAATACAATGATAAGGTGAGTTTGCAAATGACCCTAGTGGCCTCCCTCCCACAAGCCCAGCACCCCTGCCAAGTCTGTTTCCCAGAGCTCAGCCTCAGGTGCCCACCCCTCCCTCAGAACAGGAGCAACCCTAATTCTCTGACTTACTTGTCCCGTAGGACGACTCCTTCAATGCAGGCCCCAAACAGAACAACGGAGCTGATATCTGCAGCACAGGATGAAGGAGCAGCCCCAAAGTAGAGCGCGTGTGCATGCGCGCGCACACACATGCACGCACGCATGCACGCACGCATGCACGCACGCACGCAACTTCTCCTGAACCACCAGGTAGGCCACAACTTCAGCTGCCCAACCCCCAACTCTCCCCATCCAGGGTGCTCCCTGCCCAGCAGTGCAGGATACAGACAGCAGAGGTGGTGGCGATAGCCAGGATGGTGCCAGTGGGGATGGACTTCTGAGCATCCCGCAGGTCTCCAGAGCGGTTAGAGCCGGCCATGATCCCTGGGAACAGAGGAGCAGCTCAGACAAGGGCCAGGTCACCAGACACCAGACGGAGAGAAGAGAAAGGACGGATCTCAGAGCCAGGGAGCCCGGACCTAGTCCCGGCATACTGATTCGTGTAAGATCATAGGCCTGTTCCAGCCTCCATCTCCTCATCTGTCCAACTGAACGTTGGCTCCTGCTTACTTGAGGGGATTTTTAGATAAGAGTTCCCAACCTCACCACTGCCTCTCTCCTGCCCGTTCACTCCCAGGCAGAGTCCCCCACCCTCTGTGCTCCCCTTCACCTGTGACTGAGGGGAAGTAGATGCCAACCAGCAGGGTGAAGTAGGAGGTCATATCGCTGAAGACATAGGGGTGATCCATGTCGATGGGGTTGCCGTCCGGCAGGCCCACCGAGGGCATCCCGCGTCTCTCCACAATCACCCCCTTGGCCAGGTAGGAGCTCCACAGATTCTCTGTGGGGAGACAGAACTCTCAGGAGGAAGGCCAGAAGTCAGAGGACCAGAGCTCTGGTAGCAGGGGGTAGGGTAAGCAAAAAGTAAAGGTGAAGGCCAACCACATCTCACTCCCCGTGACTGTGTTTTGTTTCCACCAACACTTCTTGAGCTTCTGCTCTGGGCCAGGGATGTCAGAGATAAATTGGACTCAGTGCTGGTGCTCGAACAGTCCAATTTAGTGAGGTAGGCAGACACATAAAGACCTACCCCAGAGTGACTCAGTATACCCCAAACTGATCTTATCATTCCTTCCGACCTTTTCTGCTTCTCTTATCTCAGTAATAGCGTCCCTGTCATTCAGACACCTTGGCGTGGCTCTCAATGGCTCCTGTGCCCCTTCCCCCACCTCAACACCTCTCTACTTTCTGCCCATTACCACTCCTGAATATGTCAAGGACACCTCTTCTCTCCTTTCCAGTGTGGCTCCCCCTCGGCACTAGTGACATGTCGGGCTAGGCGATTCTTTGCTGTGGAAGGCTGTCTTACAGCCCTGTACGTGTAGACTATTTAGCAACATCTTGGCTTCTTCCCACTAAAGGCAGTAACACCCCAGTTTCAATAACCAAAACTCTACCAAATGCATCCCAGGTGGCAAAACAGCCCTGAATAGAAACCTCTGTCCCATTCCCACTGATATCTTTCCATCTCTCTAGTTAAGGCAACTGTCATCTATTTCCTGGGCTCACAGTACCAGCCTCCTCCTGGGCTCTGACTGCCTTCAAGATGCAGCCTAAACTCTTCAGCACAGCTTCCGAGGCCTGCCATGCTCTGGTTCATGCAGGCTCTCCGACATCATTTCTTGTCCTCCCTCCTTTGCAATTTATGCCCAGCCATACCGCATTACCTGTGATTGGGAGCACACAATACGCTGTTCTCTGTCTGCAGGCACTAAACCAGCTGTTCTTTGATTTGTGATTCCCTTATTTCCCTATATAACTGATGATCTCTTATGTGGCCTTCAAAAATCTCAAGTGAATACAGGAAACCTAGTCTTCTCACCTGATACACAAAAGCACTCTCTCCCTTGAGAGCTCTCTGTTCAATGAGTACACATCTACTTCTGTCATAATTTATTTGCTAATACATCTGTCTCTGTCACTAGACTCCTTGAGGCCAAGGACTGCGACTTATTTTATTATGTGTTCCTACTACTTATCATGATGCTAGGTACTTAGTAGGTACTTACTGAATGCTTTTTAAATTGGTGACTTCCCTATTAGTGATGAATACTCTCCCCTTTTTATTTTGATTTTTAGTTTGAGACAAGTTCTCACTATATAGTTCAGGCTGACTTTAAACTCACTGTGTAGCCCAGGCTTGCTTTGAACTCATGGCATTCCTCCTGCCTCTGCCTCCCAAGTGCTGGGATTACAGACATATGCCACCATGCCTAGTTCTCCTTTTTAATCTCTACCCTCCCATGATGCCAAGAACAGAACATGGCCCAAAGCAGGTGCTCAATTAAAGCTGATTGAATTTAACTGCTGTCCTATGAAGGGCCTCTTAACCCTGACTACCTAACCTACAACCCCTGTGGTTCTCCCTGGATACCAGCCCTCTTTCCTCCCCCAGACCTTTGATGAGGCCACTGGCAGCACCAGGAATGCCCTGGATCTCCGTGACATTATTTCGGTTGAAGTACTCATCACAGGTGGCATTGAGGAAGCGGGAGGAGCAGAAGAGGCCCCAGAGCTGTGTGGTCACCGTCTCATTTCCTTCCCAAGCCAACTTGGCACAGACATCAAAGCCATGGCGAGACAGTGTGCGGTTTCCCAGAAGGCAGATCCTAGGGAGAAAAATAAGCAAGGAAGATGGGAGGGACGTGACCTTGCCCTGACTTCAAAACAAAAACCTCTGGGGGACCTTCAAAGACAAAGATACTAGGGACCCACATCCAGAGAGTCTGTTTTAATTTGGATGGAGCCCAGCAAAGGTCTTCAAACGTCTCTGATGTGGCGCCAAGGTGGAGAACCACTACATAAGATGCTCTTTCAGCACCATGGACAACGGTCTCCAGGAGCTGGTCCTCTTGGCCAGTGGAATCCCAGCCCTAGGAAAAGTGGCAAAACCAACAGGGATCTAAACCCTGAACCCTCTCTTCTCTGTCTTTACCCATCCTGGAGAACTTTTCCAACACTACGTTTGTTGCATTCCAGAAGACTGTCCCATCCAGGAAATTTCCCCCTACCCTTTCAGAAGTCATTTACATTAACTTCTTAAGGCCAACTAATCTGTTGACACTCACATGGAAAATCGTTCCCACCCCCTGAAAAGCTATTCCACCCTGAAAAAACTGTCGTCAAGCCAGGGGAGATTTTCCCTCCCAGGGCAGGTGGCTCCCACAACCCACATCACTCAGGCTCTGAGACATGGGGATAGGGAGGGGGCTTGGCAGAGACTGGTGCAGAGACCCTGAAATGGAGTCAAGGAGAGAAGAGGATAATGCCTTCGGCTCAGATAGGCAGCACTCACGGGAAGTTGGGCGGGTCAAAGGCTGACTTGATGACCCCAGCATAGATGGCCAAGATGGAGAGGATGACACAACCCAGGAAGACCAGGGCAAACTTGTTGACGTACTTTACACCCACAAATACCACGGTGGCCATACAGGTGAGCACACAGGTGCCATAAACACGCATGTTGTTCAACATGGCTGCTGCCTCCCCACTGGCATCTTCTGCCTTGAAGATGGCCATAGCGGGGAAAAGATAAGCCTGCAGGAAATGGACAAGAAGGTCAGGCGAGTGGCCCACTGAGGACCAGCTGAGGATCACCTCAGGGAAACAGTCTAAAGTTTGGGCAGGGATTCGGGGAAAAAGGAATACCAGTCACAGCACATCACGCAATATAATATGGGATGTGACACCCAGTGATGGGGGAAGGGCTAAGCAAGGCCTGGCCTGGCCTGAAGGACTGTGGTGCAATTTTCTTAAACAATGGGAGCAAAGTTGTTAGGAACAACTATTTATTTGTATTCATTTGTTATTAGTTATTATTAACGATTATTTACTATTTTATTATTTCTTACAGAAAGATGGAAAGGAGTCAAATGCTCATTACTAGAGGTTGGGTAAAGAAATTATGATGTTCCCCCAAAACTACTGAGCTGTCAAAAAAATGGCACAAGGCTGGGATGTATCTTAATGGTAGATTGAGTATTTAGCATGCACACAAGACCTGGGTTCAATTCCCAGCACCAAAAATAAAACACCTTGCTATGTTATATAGGGTGAGCAAAATCAAGTTATTTTAAAGTGAATTATTTTCTCATTTTTGTAAATTTATCTGTGAAAATACTTATACGTGTGTTTTGTTTCTGTATGTGTGCTTGTAGGAACATCAAACTGTTAACAGTGCTTTTCCCTGAAACTGAACTGTGGATAATTATTCTTTTTGTACATCTGCATCTTCTAAAATCTCTATACTAAGTATTATGTTTATGTTGATACAAAAGTTATTTTCACTTACAAGTGATATTCATGAGAGAATTTTCAGTTGTTTAGGGAAATGTTTATGGTAAGAAGTTATATTTTACAGAGACAGAATACCGTATCACACAGAAAAATAAAAACTCAAAGCAAATACACCTAAATGTTCGATGGTGATGTTCTTTGGGTGATTGTTTTTCTCTCTTACATGTTTTCTTTACTTTGATATTTTTCCAATGTTATACAATTGTATAACAGTTATTTATTTACCTATGGTGCCGGGTACCAAACTCAAGACCCTGTGTGTGCTAAGCAAGCGCTCTATCACTCAGCCACATACACAGCCCCGAATTTCCTTTATAGCACATTTTAAATACTTAATTTCTTAAAAGTCACAAAGGCTTATTATTCTTCTCCCACCATTTGCTCCTCGGGCCTTTGGCTCCCCATTCATCCTCTCCACCCTTGGCCCCTTCTGTCTTGCCTTGAAACCAGGGACTACTGCACTCCAGTTCTGCTTCTCCGGGGCAGTGTGGTGCTCGAGTACAGGTTTTGGCATCAGAAAGGCACAGCTCTGGAAGCCTTGCTTTCCTCCTCTGTAAATGGCTACCTTCTAACTCACGAGAGGGCAAAACTAAATGATATGCTGCAAGCCTTGGGGCTAAACAGGGTAAGTGGTGAGGAAACATCATCCCTGTTTTCTATAAACCAGAGAACCCTCACCAGCACCCACCCTACAGAAAAGCGTGAGGAGCAGAGACCTAAGCCAGCATCTCCGGTCTTGGAGCACAGCGCATCAGTCAGTCCTCCTCACTGCTCTCTGCACGGGTCCTCACATAACTTTTCTTGTTAGCAGCCCCATAGCTATCAGCCCTCTATAGTTAACATTCTTAGGGTACCCAGCACAGCCCCTGTGTGTGGCAGGCAGCTACTGCATGGCTTTACCACTATTCTTTCTACGATTATTTCAATCCACCTTCCACCACCTTCCGGAGAGCTGAGTGACCTTCAGCAAATCGTCCCATGTCTCTGAGCTTGTCATTTGTGAAATGGGCATCATAATACTTAAACCTTGGAATGATTCAAGATAATGACTGTAAAGTACTTGGAACTATGCTGAGAGCTCAGTGGGTGCCTGACAAACGACAGCTGTCTGTGTTACATAATTATTGTATCTTGTCTCCCCAACTAGACTGGGCACTCTTTTGAGACAGAACCACATCTGATTTCTCTATGGCCTTACTGAGTGGCCTTGCCTACAGGAGGTTCCAGAGAGTGTTGGTTAATTGACTGACAGCCTGGGACCCCACACCTCCTCCTCTGCCCCTCTCACCAGCAGGATTTCGATGGTACCCAGGATGTACATGGCCCCAGCAAAGGTGGTGCCCAGGTAGAAGCAGAGGCCCACGGCGCCCCCAAACTCTGGGCCCAGAGACCTGGAAATCATGTAGTAGGAGCCACCAGCTGCAGAGAAAGCCTAGTATCAGCAAGAGGGTGGTGAGGCACTGGGCTCCTCTACGGGGTGATGGGGGCTCAGTGACAGAGAATAGAAGAGGGCTGCACTGGGCTTCAGGCTGCAGCCCCCAGAAAGGGGACTGTTGGGAAACCCAGCCAACCTCTCTGCATGGATTTTGCAGTGCTAATTACCATGTTGCTAATTACCCCTGTAGGAGGTCATGGCTCAGAAAATGGAATGGTGAAGAGGGTCTCAGGCTGAGGGTGGAGGGCTGCCATTGCCTTATTCAGCACCAGCAACTGCTTCCCTCTCCCTCCCCAGTGAGCTCCTCCCAACCCTTAAACAGTCACAGCCCAGCCCCCGGGTCTGCAATATTGCTTCTCTTGGGTCTTGAGGACCCTCAAATCCCAGGGCACTGTCCATTCATCCAACCATCAGGCCCCTTCCTCCTCCCCAGAGACCCCAGGCACATACCAGGCACAACACCATTGGTTGCAATCGCACTCATGGAAATGGCCGTGAGCATCGTCTGTGAGGAAAGAGACCATCAGAGCAGCAGCTGCTGGGGGCCACAGTGGCCTGGGTGGAGGCCAAGCCATATACCCCATAAACACCAGCCAAACCCACAAGTTCTCTTCTGCTGAGCTTCTTCATGGGCCTGTTCCAACTTTGACTTGTGCCAAGTCCTTTTTCTCACAAAAACCTCTTATTCACCGTGCGAATGGAAGGAGCAGAAGCTACAGCACCAGAGAGCTCTGGAAACCCCAGCTTGGCCCCTGACCAGCTGCCTGACCTGAGGCTCCGTTTCTCTAGTCCTCATCTCTTCATCTACAGAAGAGCAGAACACGCACACACGCAGATCCAGGTGAAACCTGGTTAGTAGCCATCAGGACCAAGCCTCTGAGAGGCAGGAAGGGCCAGTCAGACCTAATCTACGCTAAAGATCATACGCAGTGGTTTCCACTAAAAGCTCAGGGCTCGTGCTTCTACCCTCCCACCTCCCACCCCCAGGCCTCTACCAAGCCTGCTGGCGGGGGGTCACTCACACAGGAGCAGCAGATGAAGACCATGCAGAAGGACTCCATGATCCCTGCAATTCCCACCACCCAAGTGAGGCGCAGGAAGAGGATGACGCCGAAGATGTTCTGCAGGCATGGGAGGTACACGCCCATGAAGGTGCCCATGCGTGGGGCCTGCCAGGGAAGCCAACGTCAGTCTCTGCAGCCCCTTTTTATTACCAACACCCCAGCCCACTCCTCCTCCACGACCCTCCCCCCACTCCCCCTCCTCAGCCCTTCATCCCTCTTCCCTGATTTTTATACCCTTTCCCTCCTCTCCTCCAAGCCCTGCTGCCCATCCCTCTGCCTCCGCTACCCATCTGCAAGCCATCTCCTCCCTCCACCTCTCACTCCTTCCCCTCTCCCAGCCCCCAGATCCCATCTCTTTGCCTCTATCACCCATCCCTCCATTTGGATCTTGTTTCTTTCCCACCCTTCCTCCCCCACCCCTTCTCCCCAGGCCCCACCTGCACCGGCTTCTTTTTTCCACCCTCATTGTTTTCTGCCTCTTCGTGCTCCCTGCTTCCCTGGGGCAGGTTGGTGTAGTTGGCCAGGCCACTGAGCAGGGAGGACACCATGGGACTGGTGTCCATCTCCTCCTACAGAGGAAGGGAGCCAGTGTGTTAGGAGGCTGGGGGCCCGTGAGAGGGGTGGGGTGACTGGATGGTAGGGAGCAGAGGGTGGGGGCAAAAGGGTAAAACCACTGAAGTTAGAAGATGGGAAAGGAAGAGGAATAGGTAGGAGGGACAGGAAAAAGGACTTGGTGGGATGAGGAGAGGGGGCAGGGAGTAGATGGGGTAAAGGCAGAGAGGAAGAAGAAGGTAGGGGAGTGTGAAGGAAGAAGGCGAACATAAGGAGGGATGGAGAGGGATACTCTTCCCAAGGGAAGGAGGGAGCAGCTCTGAGCAGGGTCCAACAGCCCTAGCAGCCCACCTCAAACAGGGCCATGTTCTTGCCATCGTACTCCTTTCCTTTCTCTGTGTCTGTGCTGTTGATGAAGGGGCTGCTTTCCTTGGGGTTGCCGTCACCTGAGAAGGCAGAGGAGTCAGGGGTCTGGCGCAAACCATTTGTCCTCCATCCACTCTGGCACACAGCTGTTAACTCTCTGAACCTTGGTTTGCACGCTGGGGGAAATGGGGCTTATACTACCTTCTTTGCAGGATTTTAGCAGACAGCATTGCAGAGAGCCCAATACAATGCCTGGCATATTTATTGCATACTCAATGGACATACGAGTGATTTCTTGCTCTGGAGAATCCTATTTCTTTCACCATTGCAGCCCAAGACTCCCTAGAGTGCCACTATGGAACACAACTAGGTCCATCTTGGAGTTGTAGGGCGGGTACATGTTCTTTCTTGAGAAGGAAGACAGAGAACACTGCAGCCTGAGACTCCGCCTGAGGGTACTCTACGGCCCCTTGTGCCATAGCCTGTCTCTCACTCATCTCCGTCCACTGAATGTCCACCAACTGCCAATACTGGCGTGGGCAGTGGGGGGAGCAGAGCACAGAATAAGGCACTACCCCTGCCCTCAAGGAATCAGCTAAGGCCAGAGGACACAAAGCAGCCACCAGGAATTTCCAACCGGATTGATAGTCTAGGAGAGGAGGTGAGCGTGGCACTGTGAGAACACAAGAGGGCACTCAGCCCAGCCTGGGAGGTCACAGAAGGCTTCCCAGAGGAAGTGACGTGTTAGCTGAGAGCTGAAGGATGAGTAAGAGCTAGACTGGGACGGAGGCAGGGAGGGTGTTCCAGGCAGAGAGAAAAGTGGAACAGCGTGTTCGATGGCCCAGAGGCGAGAGCGAACAGAGTGGCTCCGAGAAGCTCAAGTCTGATCGGATGGAGTTTGAGGAAGGGGCAAACTGGGAGGCTGAAGAATCAGGAGAGGAGTGAGGAAAGATAGACCTTGGAAGGTAAGTGTGGACAGGGTTTTTAAACAATTAGCAGGCCATCTTAAAAAATCTGGACCTCACCCGGAGGATGATGGACAGCCAGCGAAGTTTCGGGGAAAGAAATGCCATGAGCAGAGTTGTGTTTTAGAACAATCATTCTGTCAGCAAATACACAAACCAGAAACTCAATGGTGCAAGCACGGGCTGATACTGATCCAGACCATAGCAACATGGAGCAATCACAGGCACATTTCCTTGCCAGGCATTTGGGGAGGAGGGCAAGAATCCAGCCTAATGCCTAGAGTTTCTAGCATGGGTAAAAGTGTGGGTGATAATAAATTTGGAGAGGAGATTAGCAGGAGTCTGGGGGAAGGGCAGGTACTGTATTTAGCTGAGGGTGAGGTACTGTAGGGCTCTCACATAGATACATCCAGAAGTCACCTGGATATACGTATGGAACAGGACCAAGGCTGAGCAGGAGAAAGGGGAAATCTTGTGTAAATGTGTGTGGTGTGTCAAGCCATGTGCCTCGAAGAGATGACTCATGGAGAAAGTCTCTTGGAATCAAGGGAAGAGTCCTTTCAGAAAGACATAAAAGACCTCAGTAGAGAGCTGGCTGTGGTGACACACACTTGTAATCGCACTACTTTGGAGGCTGAGGCAGGAGGATCACAAGTTCAAGGCCAGCCTGGGTATCTCAGCAAGATACTGTTACCAGAACAGAGGCCTCCATAGGCACATTCCCTTGTCTCCCGGCCTTCCTCGGTTCCAAGGCTGAATCCTAGCAGTAGTCAGCTCTATGGACTCGGAAAGAATCCCCCCTGACCAAAGCCAAGTGAAGGTACCTCTCCTGTCTCTTCATCTCTCAGCAGCCTTCTCTCCTACCCCTATCTGTCCAAATCTGCTCAACCCTTCTCCCTACCTTCTGGGAAATGGCTTCAGCCACCCAGCCAGGGCCAATCTCCAGAGCATGACCTCTCCCTGTTTTAAATGCAATCCCATCCTAAAAACTGGGGTAGGGGGGAAGTAATTCCTGAAATCCACCACCAGTCGGTCTCCTGCCACCACCTCTACCTGAAATGTGAGTTCCTGAGAATAACAGGAACTGTTCCTGGGAATCCCATCCTTCCTGTGGGAACCCAGCACATAATAGATGCTCAGGAAATAATCTTCTGAGGTAAATTCCCCAGGGTCTCCCTTTCTGACCCCAAGGTTTCAAGACAGCTGTCTCAGGCTAGAGAACAGTAAAAATGAGGTGAATACCCCCTCCTCAAAATGCTGAAAAAAAGGTGTTCTGTTCTCATCACGCTATTGTGGGGACTACAGAGGCTGATTAGACATGATGGTGAAGGAAAAGAGCAGGAGTAAGGGAGACCTAGGTTCCAGGCCCAGCTGTGTCTTCCCCTTGAGCAAACCACTTTCTAAGCTTGTTTTCTTCTTTGCAAAGGGAAACTAAACAAGCTTAACTTATAGAGTGCTTGTGGGAATTAAGTGGAATAATGCATATGGTGAGCCATTCACACGGAGTGTAGCTATTGCTGCTATGACAATTATGATTATTAGCATACCTGGTGTCCGCCCGCCCAGGCTGCTCACCCTGTACCCCTCCCTCAGCCGCAAGATTTGGGGGTCGCTGGGTCTCCTGTGAGGCTAGGTGCCTCTCCCAGAAGCGTCCGGTTAGGGCCAGGACCACCAGACAGGAGAGCCCTTCTGCTCGGCCTTTCTCGCCCCCTCCTAAGCCCCTCCTCCTTTGCGGGGTGAGTAGCGCCTCGGGGACAGGAAGGGGGCCTTGGGGCCCGAGACCCTGAGTAACTAGGCAGCCCTGCGCCGGTCTCCATGGTGACCGCGCGGGCCTTGAGCGCAG